CTCAGAAAGGCCATCAAGCCCTCTTCTGTCGGTATGGTTCCTTGAATCCATTGGTTTCTCATCCTGGAAATCATAGAAAGCTTGGCTTCTCGAAGGTGAGACAGAGCTAAAGGCCATCCAGTGGGGAGGGGGGAGGAGAGAGGAATGCTGGCAACATGCCATGGGTGGCCCGGGGACAGGCCCGAACTGATGAGGTGCTAGAGGAGGATGGAGGGGCACAGCGTGGGGAACTGCCAAAGAGAAATCTAACCTTTTGAACTATTTTCTGGGTGAGCTTCAGCAAGCCCCCCACCCCCTGCATGTGCTCTTAGCTGACAGGGGGATTTCTTTTCCCTTGGAAACATAACTGGCATCTTTCTATAGATGAGGCATGAATGTCCTTTTGTTGGAGGCTGATGGGGGAGGGTAGAAGTGCAAAAAAAGGAGACAAATACATCTGTAACCTTTGGAGCATGCCCCAGTGGATGATGGGAAAAGTTTAAAAGAAACCTGTTTTCAACTAGCTGGACTGTCCCATCTGCATCTAAGATCTACACACAAAGCTGACACAGAGAATGGCAAAGGAGGACAGAGACAAAGAGAAACTCACACACAGAAAAAAACCAGCAAGGGAGACAGAGAAACTCACACTGATGGATAATTAACCATTAAGCTAACTGGCAGAAGATAGAAGCTCAGAAGCACTAAGGAAGACATGATGTCATTCTGATTTCAGGCAGCTTCCAAGGAACACTTAGCTCAGCCTCCATCCACTTGATAATGTAACACAGGAAGGTATTTTTTTCCCCCAGTGATCAGTAGAGGAACAGAAATTCACAGTCCTGAGCTGTACCTGCCCTTAGCCACAGCTGACCTGCAGTTTATTTGGTCCCCAGGGCTGGGGCACAGGGAGTGCCCAGCCTGTGGGAGGAACCAAACTATTATAGACAGAAGTGCAGCTTCCATGCAAATTTACAAAGAATGATTCAAAAATTAGTTTCTTAGCCTCCCCTCTACTACATACCCTCCCTCCCTACACACACACACCCCTATTCAGCATTTTCTAATGCATTTAGGAGACAGACTCAATAAATTTAGCTACATCTGTAGGTGACAGACACATCACAGTCATTAAGGGAAGTTCCACTCTTCCTTTGGGGGTTGGGGGATACCTCCACCCTTCCTAGGCTAATGTCAGGAAAGATTGTCAGCTATCTCTTATGATGTCCCTCTGAATTCTTGTCATAGGCAACCTTGTGGGTTGGATGGACCATGGAGCTAGGCTGGAGAGAGGATTCTGTGCTCTTCTAAGCCAGGCAGCATGATGTGTGGAAAGACCAGAAGGGGAATTAGGAGACCTGAGTTCTAGGTCTGGCCCTGTGTGATCTTGGGCAAGTCACTTTCCCTCTCTGAGTCTCAGTTTCCTATCTGCAAGAGGAGGACACTGGATTACAGAATCTGTAACATCTCTTTTATCTCTGAACATTCTCTGCATTTCACACCTGAGTTGAGACAATCAAAGTGCAAAAAGTAAACCCAGGGCTCCCACCTGTAATCCCAGCACTTTGGGAGGCTGAGGCAGGTGGATCACCTGAGGTCAGGAGTTCGAGACCAGCCTGGCCAACATGGTGAAACCCCATCTCCACTAAAAATATAAAAATTAGTTGGGCATGGTGGCAGGTGCCTGTAATCCCAGCTACTCGGGAGGCTGAGGCAGGAGAATCACTTGAACCCGGGAGGCCGAGGTTGCGGTGAGCTGAGATCGTGCCATTGTACTCCAGCTTGGGCAACAAGAGTAAAACTCCCTCTCAAAAAAAAAAAAAAAAAAAAAAAAGTAAACCCAGTTGAGTTCCGTGTGTCCTGAATACAAATTGAAGGAGGCATCTGAAAGGCTCCTGAGGCCTTGGGCTATAACCCTAAGTCCCTGGCCTACAAGAAAGAGCAAGACTGGCTGACTGACATTCTACCTCCCTCTGTCAAACTCCCCCAATCTAAGGGACTGAATATTCCCCTGTAGAGTGGAATGCAGTGGTAAAGGGTATGGTCTCTGAATCTGGGTTGAAATCATGGCCCTGTAACAGGAAAGGCAGGATAGTGAGGTGGCGAAGTGCTTGGGCTCAAGAGTCAAAGACTGAAGCTCAGATCCATAGGCCATTGGGTTATTTCATCTCTCTTAGCCTCAGTCTCCTTATCTATAAAATGGGAATGATAACAATAGTGCTGATTTGATAAAGCTGCTGTGAGGAGCAAATAAGATAATGCATGTAGAGTGCCTAGCCTGGGCTCTTTGCTTATTCAATACATAGTTATTATTATTATTATTATTATTATTATTATTATTATTGCCTACTCATTGGAGGCTTTTCTTGGTGTTCATACAATTGAGTTCACCAGGACTCAGTTGTAAATGCTTTGATGGGGTGAGGGTGGGGAACATAATGATTGGAGACAGCAAATGGGGCTTCAATACCCTAGGGATGGCCTTGAAAATTAATTACAGCGTGACTCTAACTACACCAAATCAGTTGTCCCTAGCAGGGGTTCATGTATGTGCTACCCCGGGACACAGGCAGGCAGCCCAAAAGAGGCCACACCGTTGCTCTTAGACTGAGAAGAACTGGCTGAGACCTCTCTACCACTCTCCTGCAAGGGCTGGTATGTTACAGCCCAAAAGCCTTCTATTGCTGGCCATGGTCTAGGCCAGACCTCGGACTGTCACACCGGACTTTTCTCTCTCTCCCAAAGGGCAAAGCCCTTGGCAGTCATCTCCAAGCATGGCTTTGGCATGTATTCCTTGAACAACTTCAGGCTAGCCAGAGTGTGAGGCCAAATCTTCTCCTATCTAGATCACGTGCTAGGTGCCAGGCCCTGCCATCTTCCCACAGACATGCTGGTCTCTCACCTGCCAGCTCTGGTCCTGAGACTGCAGCAGCTTTACAAGAAGCAGGGTCACCATCTCCCCACTCTCACACGCTGCTCTGAGCTCCTTCAGAATCTGCCCTCAGAGGACTCCTCCATGAGCAGTGTCACAAGGCTTTGTCCTCTTGAAAATATCATCTTCCCAAAAAAAGCCTGTATTAAGCACTTATCTGCACGTGGTGTTGTGCTGAGTTCTGTTTCTAGTGAGTCACACTGTCACAGGCTCTGCCCTCTGGGAAAAAGTCTGGAATCTTTGCCAGAGACTGTAAAGTCCAGTTTGGCTAAGTACTGGGGTGTCAGAAGAGAAGGAATGGTTTAAAAATTCCTCCGAGACCACTGGGTGGTGACTCTTCCACTCGTGTTCATCTCCCATCCCTCACTTTCTAGCTTCCTCCTCCCTCCTTCTTTAGATTCCCAAACACTTCATTTTTTTCCATTTAAATTTCAGATGGGCTTATTTCCCACCTTTTAAATCCAGGGAACTCTTTGGCTTACTGTAACACTTGATTTTAAGCAAATGAGAGCATTAGGTTTTTGAGGGTTTAAGAGCCCATCCGTAAAGATATTTCTACTTTGGATTACAAAGGCATGTTTTAGAAATTCTAGAATCGTATAGCCTTACATTAAAGAAGCCAGACACACTAGAGGAAGTCTTAACCAAGCAAATGTCAACAGCCCCAGGAAAGGACAAAGACAAGATGCTGCCTTTGACTTTAAAAGGAAATGTAGCAATTCCCCTTCAAAATGCAAGGGGCAAAAAAGATCACAATTTCAAAATAATGTTCTATCTTCCTGACCCTGGGGCTCTCCCTTATCAGTACTGAGCTGTCCATCTTCCTGACATCTAGTGCGTTGGCCCAGTTTCTGAAGCCATTTTTAGAACATGTTCATTTTAATAATCAAGGAGTCAGAGTCTTGCACAGTTTCAAGTGTTTCATCAGTTACTCAGCCCTTCTCTCCACGTCACTCAGAGGAGGGGCCTTGTGGTCACTTTGGCCGTTTGACCAGCAAGAAGGAGGCTTACTGTTACCCCTGACTCTGTCTAGGATCCAACCATACGCTCAAGGAAAGGCCAGCTGTGAGCCTAGAGGAGTTGTCTTCAGTGATTCCATTGCCTTTATAGAGGCCCCCCTCTGCTCCCCTGACACAGGAAGTTGCCCTTGTTATGTCCTCCCTCCCTCCATGCCCTGCACATTGACATATTCGTGTCATATCAGGTTTCTACCTTTTCTGAATTAAAGGTGAGCACAAATGGTCAGACAAGAATATTTGCACTTAGCCTATTACATAAACTCATGGAGGGGGAGGATTGAGCATTTCCCTGGCCCTCGGTTAAGTCACTGCATTTTTACAAAGACCTTCTGAAGACAATACCAACAGAATGAATAAGGAGCAGTTCATGTATTAGATACCCCAGACAAGTAAAGAAAATACCATTCCAGGGGGCCTGTTACAATAAAAAACAAGTTTTGTTGATTACAAAGGGCTGGCTGGTGACCCTGCCTCAATTTCTTTAAAAGGGCTCATGGCTTTCTGCCAGAACCACCTCACTCCACCCCCATCTCAACTCAGCCCTAATCTTAACTATAAACTGCAATTTAAAATAAAGCAGCTTTTTCATTCTCCATGGATTTCCATCCTTTCCTTCCCTCTAATGACTTGAGGCTTAGCTGAAGTGGGGTTTTGCAGCCTATCGGCACCCAAGCGGTAGAAGAGACATCAGGATGTGTAAAGTGCTTTGGGATCCATCCCACAGACTAGGACCCAGAGATGCCTCCTGCCTCCCTCTGCCCACAGGTGCCGCTGCTCGGGCTAGGGGTCAAGGATGGGATCCAACATGCTTTTCCTGGCAGGACCTGTCAGGCAGGAGCAAAGGGTAAGAATGCAACCATTCTCGACCGCCCTAAAAAACTGAGTGATATGGGGACGGGACCCCGCTGAGAGAGGTGAAAAGGGGTGAGGAGGGGCCGAGGGTCCTCGGCTCAGCAAGAGGCGAAACCGCCACGCGCTGGGACGCTGGACGATGACAACCGCTACAGCTATGCCTCGGGCGAGGTCCCCTCCCAGGTCCCTCCCTTCCTGGACCTGACCCCCGGGATCACCTTGATCTTCTCGCCCTCGATTTCCACGGTCTTCTCCCTGAAGTCCACGCCGATGGTGGCTTCAGTCTTGTCTGGGAAGGTACCCCCGCAGAAGCGGAAGGTTAGGCAGGTCTTGCCCACGTTGGAGTCCCCAATCACGATGATTTTGAAGATGCGAATCTGCACGTACTGGTCCAGCGACGAGTCAAGCTCCAGGGACGCCAGGCCAGCGGCCGAGGCGGGCTCCAGGCTCCCATGGCCCAGGATGGGCTGCGCCATCTCCCCCGGACCGAACCGGGGCCCCAACCCCCCTCGAGGGCTCCACACAAAGAGAACGTCCACGTTCGTGCGCTCGAGGCGAGCGAGCTCTGTGCGCGTGTGTGTGCGCGCGTGTGTGTGTCCGCCCGTGTGTGCGTGCGCCGGCACCGTGTGCGCGCGCGCGTGAAGAGGGTGCCTCTCATTCCGGGCCCCCCTCCTCCTCCTCCAGCGCACCCTCCTTGCAGCTCGGAGGCACCAACACAAAAGCCAGGGAGAGGAGGAGAGAGGGAGGAGAGTGGACGAGCAGCGAGCCTTCTGCCTGTGTGCGCCCTCGGACCGGATGCTCTGGCGAAGGACCCTACGGCGCTGCTCCAGCCGCCGCCGCGCCTCGGCCCACACTCTCCCCTGCCTGCACCCCCGAGACCGACCGGAGGGAAGAAGCCTCAGGAGGAAAGGGAGGGGGTGGGGACAGCAGCACACGCCACCCCGGGATAGACTTCTTTCTCCTTGCCCCCATTTATGTTATAAGTTTCGGGCTCCCCACCCCCACTGGCTCGGAGCGCACGGGATCAGCGGGCAGGGAGCACAGCTGGGGAGGACAAAGAGCTGCACCCTAAGGCATCACTGGATCACTTCGGCCTCCCTGGAGCAACGCAACTCTGCAGGGATGGGGTGGGGGCTAAGGCACCTCTTTCACTTAGGGAGCAGCCGGCAGCTGAGCCGCGCCTTCCCGGTCCCCGCTACCCCGTCCCCTCTACCCCCACCCTCTACCCGACCCGCGCCTTGGGATAAAGGGATGTTCTGTCTTATTGAGTGAGCAGGTGCACTCACGGGCCCCAGGCAGCCTGAGAGGGCGCTGCCAAGACACGCAGTGGGTTGTCCCGGGCCTGCACAGTTGAGAGGAGGGAGCCAGCGGGCGCGCGTGTGCGTGTGTAGGGGGTGTTACTGTTTCTGTCACAGACTTGCCAGATGTAGGGGGGCGCGTACCAGGCGCCAACATCCCCTCATCACACCACGAGCACCCATCCTCTGAATGTTCAGGAGAGCGGCTCCTATTGGCTGCCGCAGTCGGTTGTGTTTGGCTGGCCAATGGGGAAGGCTCGCCGCGGGAGAGGGCCACACAGAGGCTAGGAGAAGGGGGGAAGCTAGTGGTGGCAGTTCCAGCAAAAGGGGACTTTGTTTATGGGGCTAGCCATTACTGGCCCAGGTGGAGGATCTTGGGACATGGCATAAGCTCCACAGTGCCTTCCACTCCCAAGCCCTCCATATAACCGTAAGTCCTTCCAGAAGGGTGGAGTTTCAGAGGGAGTTGGGAATCCCTAGGAGGGTTCACTCCCCCTGCAGCTGAATGTAGAACAAAGTGGTTGAGTCTAATTTGCCAGAAGCCTAGATTATGCTTGGAAGATGATAAATGAACACAATCTCCTTACAATATTAGGGGGCTGCTTCCCAAAGCTTACTAATCATCACACACATCTTGGTCAAGACCAGTATTCCCTCTCCCTAAAGTCATCCGCAGATTCAGAATTTGTTTGAAATCGACTTTATTGGGTACAATTTACATATGATAAAGTGCACCCATTTATTTTTAAGACTTCATCTCTCCCCCTACATATTTCATAAGCTAAGGTAACACTGACACATGTCACTAGCACTGACTTGTGAGTTATTGCTAATGCGATCAAGGTCAGGGATTCAAGCATCACAGTTGAGCTGCCATCTTATTTGGGAGGCTGAGCTGCAGGAAGAGACAAATATGACCAAATCCATTTCTGCTGAGAGAAAAACAGTTTAGTGCATAAGTGATATATCTGAGAGCAAACTGGAATGTAACTACTCAAGGACGTCCAAGTTACTCAGAATGGCGTCTTCCAGTTAATAAGTTTATAAGCTGAGCTAGCAGATATATTTACAGCTATATCATATATGCAGGTCGCCCATTCCTAAAACCCTAGATTATACTACTCAGCATTAAAACTACCCAGATAAGGATTTAATCTTAGTTGGCTAATCCAAAATCATCCTTATGAATACCAGTTTTCATTGTATTATGTATCAATCATCATTGTACAGTATTTTTGGTTTTGGTTTGCTGGATCGTTCCCCTCTGTATTGGAAGCTAATGCTCCTGATGATCTTTATCTACAGCATAGCTTTAAGGCGGAGAGGGGTAACTATTAATTAGGCACATCCTGTACACAAAGTAGAAAGGGGCTTTGCCCTTTGCCAACCCACAGCTAGAATTAATGCCAACTTCCTGAGAGATATAAAAAAATAAACATATGTACATAATAAGATTATTTCAATGTATGCTTCTAGCAAAAACTTGTCACTGAGTCTACTTTTGTAAGGAAGAAACTTTGATTTCTGAAAATATGATATCTCAAAATGGGCTTCTTGCCCTAATAAAAGGTGTCTGTTACTTCTGTGGGGTGAGACTTTGGGGGACTTCCACTTATATTGTTTGGAATTAATTCAATGAGTATATATTGCTTTTGCAAAAAAAAAAAGATAAAAATATAATTTTTAATTAAAAGAACAGGAAAACTACCGTATTGTACCTATTGTAAAAAAATTAAACGTACTATACAATGCCCTTTGTGTTAATTGTGCATTATTAAATTACTGACTTTCAAATACATGCAGTTGTTTTCATAGGTACCTGATTATCATGATTTTGACAGTGTTTTCCAGTCCCTTTGGCAATCAGATATAATTAACTTTGTATTTAATCAATCCATGATCACTGGTTTTTAGAAATATCAATAAAAATCAATGTCTGCAAGGCTGTTAAAATATTAAGTAAATATAAATAATTTTTACGTTACTCTGGAATTGATATTTTCAATATTTATCTCCTGGCCTAAAGTGATCCACCCTCCTCGGCCTCCCAAAGTGCTGGGATTACAGGCATGAGCCACAGTGCCTGACCATATTTTCAATATTTATCCAAAGGAGCTCTAGATAAAATGTCACCCATTGCCTGCACTTCTGAACACTGATCTACTCTGCTTAATGGGTAAGGGAACCCTGGATCATTTTCACCCAATAAAGACTACTTCCTAGGCCTGGCACAGTGGCTCACACGTGTAATCCCAACACTTTGAGAGGCTGAGGTGGCAAGATTGCTTGAGCCCCGGAGTTCAAGACCAGCCTGGGCAACATAATGAGACTGTCTCCTAAAGAAAACCAAAAAACAAAACTGCTTCCTTGGTTAAACTTCATAAAAGAATGTCTTTGTAGGCCGGGCAAGGTGGCTCATGCCTGTAATCCCAGCACTTTGGGAGGCTGAGGCAGGTGATCACCTGAGGTCAGGAGTTCAAGACCAGCCTGGACAACATGGTGGAACCCTGTGTCTACTAAAAAGACAAAAATTAGCCGGGCGTGGTGGCATGCGCCTGTAATCCCAGCTACTCGGGAGGCTGAGGCAGGAGAATTGCTTGAACCTGGGGGGCAGAAGTTGCAGTGAGCCGAGATCTGCCACTGCACTCCAGCCTGGGTGACAAAGGGAGACTGTCTCAAGAAGAAAAAAAAAAATTATCTCTTTTTCTTTTTTGAAATAGGGCCTTGCTCTGTCATCCAGGCTGGAGTGAACGGGAGCAATCACTGCTCACTGCAGTCTCAGTCTCCTGGGCTCAAGTGATCCTCCCATCTCAGCTTCCTGAGTAGCTAGAACCACAGGCACATACTACCACGTCTGGCAAATTAAAAAAAAAAAAAAATGTTAGAGATGAGGTCTCATTATGTTGTGCAGGCTGGTCTGGAACTCCTGGTCTCAAACAATCTTCCGACTCATCCTCCCAAAGTACTGGGATTACAGGCATGAGCCACTGCACCCGGCCCTGTAATTTCATTCTTTATCCCCATCCCACCAAAATAAATAAATAAAATAAAATAAGTAACTTCATTACCTGCAAAGTTAGGGCCAAACTCTTTTCCCAGTTCAAATCTGGCCCCACCATACTTGCCTGTGCTTATCACTGCTTCTTTTTCTTTTTTTTTTTCTTTTTGGAGACAGTCTTGCTCCATCACCCAGGCTGGAGTGCAGTGGCACAATCTCGGCTCACTGCAGCCTCCACCTCTCAGGTTCAAGCGATTCTCCTGCCTCAGTCTTCCTAGTAGCTGGGATTACAGGTGCACGCCATGGCGCCAGGCTAATTTTTGGATTTTTTGTAGAGACGGGGTTTCACCACGTTGGCCAGGCTGTTCTTAAACTCCTGACCTAAAGTGATCCACCTGCCTAGGCCTCCCAAAGTGCTGGGATTACAGGCATGAGCCACGGAGCCCGACCACATCAATACTTCTTAGTATGATGCCCCCTGAAAATGTGCTGGGGTTTGTTTTTTCTTAAACACTTCCAAGCCTTTTCATTTAACAAACAGCATGGTGCTTCCTCTATGACACTTTACAAATATTAGCTCATTTAGTCTTCCGAACACCCTCATGAGATTGGTAGATGAGGAAAATGAGGCACAATTAAGTGACTTGCCCAGGTGGCAGAGCCATGATTCAATCTGGGTTGGTCTGGATCCAAGGTCAACATGTTTAACAATGAAAAATGTTATCTTTGGTCCCAAAGTATTCATCATCTGAAATATCATTCCTTTTCCTCCACGATTTGAATTTTACTACTCATCCTTCAAGATACAGCTCAAATAACTTCTTGTATGAAGTTCTTCCATAGCGATTCCATCCCATAGTCTTCTCTCTTGCTCTGTCCGGCACGACACCGGATATTAATTTCAATGACCAGTGTATGTCATCTCCCCAACTAGACAGTGGCCACTTCCTATACAGATGCTACGTCCAAATAAACCCATTGTAAATTGAAAATATCTTAAGTCAAAACTGCATTTAATACCCTGACAAACCCATCATAAAGTCGAAAAAACGTAAGTTGAACCATGGTTAAATCCAGATGCTCCTCGACTTACATGGGGTTAGGTCTCATTAAACCCATCATAAAGTCGAAAAATTGTTAAGTTGAACCATTGTGAGGGGTAAGTCGGGGACCATCCGTACTTTTCATACCCACTAGAGCCCCTTTTATAGTACAATCCAAGAGGCAAATGCTCAACAAATACTTGTTAAATGAATATGTAAGTTGAATATTTGAAACAGGCACATTTCATGCTCTGCATGCAGCCAAAACATTATTTCCAATTTAGCTTATATCTGGCAGAGTCAAAACACCTATTTATACTCAGCCCCTCACCTTACTCCCATAACTGAAAGTTCTGCTTAGAAGACTTCTCTTCCCATAAAGTCTGAG